GAATATCTTAAACAATGTAGCTCATTTCTAATTCTCCGAGCATATCATTCCCAGTGATTCACATTCTCCCCTGCATGAGTGCTGGTACTCTGGTCTGTCTCAAGTCCACTGCCATGGCCTCTAACACTTTAGACAAACAGAATAATCTAATAACATGCCAATCCGGCCTGACAGCCATAATATGATTTGCATTCCACAGCTGCAATAACAACAGTCAAGAGCTTAAGGTCACATAAACATGCTTATTCTTTACCTAGCTTGCCTCTAAGTCAAAACTTTATGTCTTAAAAATGTATTGCAGTCAGTGGAAGCATTGAGAATTGTGTATGATGGAGAGAATTGCACAGTAATAGGTTTGGTTTTTGAATCAGATGGACATGTTTTAGTGCTTTCATCTTTTATAAAAAATATGTAAGACCTTGCCTTCCAGGGTAAGTGTAAAAATGATGGGAAAAATGTACAAACCTCTGCACTGTCAAAGTCAGAATGGAAAGGGTTTTTTTTTCTCTTTTTTCTGATAAAATGTTATATTGTAACGACGCCACTCATCTTTCAACCCTCCTCCACCTGCTGATAGGTGTTCTTTTTGTAATGGAATTAATTAAGCAGTGGAAAAGTGGGAGAAATGCACCCATTTCCGTGCTATTAAAACGAAGCAGTGAATGCAACCAATTTCCCCTGTCTGTTAGTAGAGCTCTCTGAGGCTCGGTCACAAGGTATAAATCAACACTTGTGAATGCAGAGAGGGTGAGAGGCAGATGACGTTACTGCCGGTTTACAGTGAAACTTGAGTGAAAAGTGCAGCTCCTTGTTTGACATTGAGGCGAAGTGGTTTTAATTTACAACAAAAACGAGTTTGCTTAAGCCACCTCAGGACGGGGATTGACTTTTCCCAAATCGCACCGAAATGTGGCTAATGCTTAAAAATGTGCAAATCTGCATTATGTTTATGTTTTGTTTCTTTAAATCAGTTAGTCCTCTTAACAACAAAATATAACAAACCAAGAAGCAGTGTGAGAATACTTGTGACCATTTGACCTTTTGAAACATTTTAGCCTTTTTAGCAGTCATGTATGAAGCGATATCAAAGCATGACATGACTTGTGACCGACTGAATCCCAGCGCTCTGCTGAGGACTGATAAGATGGCACACAGTCAAAGTCTAGGGTAGATTACCATATTGAGAGTCAGAGGGGAGAGAAAGAATGTGTTTTGTGTGTGTGTGTGTGTGTGTTTGTGTGTGTGTGTGTGTGTGTCTGTGTGTGATGTGTGAATGCACAAATATCTGGGTTAGCACCATAACAAAAGGACCCAAAAAATATGAGGCAACAGATTGCTCCTCCTTCTCCCGTTTGTCAGCTTGAAAACATTGTTTCAAACATAAAAAATAAGACACATAGAAACCGATAAATCCCTCTCGTTTTACTTTCAACACAGTGATGACAGACTTTAGGACAAATGGTTTTGGATTAAATATCCTATAAAGATATAGGCAAGTATCCTCAACGTGTCATTTTTTCTTACTGTACATATACAGCACAGTGTTACAGGAAATACCAGACACAGGTCAGAAGCATCTGAGGGTGCTGAAGAGAAGCTTGTGTAGCTTTTTCTTTAATGATCTCACAGACACATAGAGAAAACAAAAATGTTTCACGTGGCAGAAAGGAGGGAATGTTCTTTGTCGCTAATGGCCCTAGGCACAACAGCACAGCATCGTGGAATACATATAAAAATGTGACTGCAAATGTTAATTGGATGGCAGTTTATTTGGTATTCCACACCCATAAGTAATGTCCATGAGCAAAATGCACCAAAAGCTGCCATACATAAACCTTTTTACAAGTAGTGTTATTTAATAAGACACTTATGCTCTGGTAGGCTGAATGAAAAAAGGGGAAAATATTGTCTCTTACAGTGGTTAGGAAACTATTACTATGTGTTTAAGGCGCTGACTTTCATCTTTAATTTATAGGTTACACATCAACACCAGATGAATAATGCAGCACTATTTTACACTTTCCCCCAATTTTAAAAGCTCACAACGTATTGTGGAAAATACAGTAACCATTTCACCAATAAAATCCCTCCCACTCAACGATTTAGCTCCTCAGAACTCATCTCCGTTTCAAAGTTAAATACTTATTTCCATAAAACCAATCCCTCTTGCCTTATAAAGATGTAGATATAACTCAAGTTGTTTTCTCTAGAATGTAAAGATTTATGAAGTCCCACCTGCAGCTCAGTACACCAGTTCACCTACTGCTCTGCTTAAACTCTGTAACACTTTTCTCGATTGCAGTATTATGATACAGGATTAACTGCTAATTACACACGTGATGTGATTTTTAGCATATGAAAAACACCAAATGGACATGTTGGAGGGAGCGTTAAACGTAGATTTTTGTTTGCCATCAGTGGTCACCTGTGGTTCCAAAGTAATTAACATACAGTTGCTGTCTTCCCTAATGATGCTCTGCCAGATTTATAGCAGCCAACTGCAGCTCTTCCTTGTTTTGGAGGCTTTTTAACTATAGATTGTTCTTCAGCAAGTGAAGCACGTTCTCACTTTGATTGTCAAGTGCTTTCCACTGGCTCCAAAAAACTCATTGCTTTGTTTGTCTGCCTAAGATCAAAGTCCTGCCAAATCTTTCTAAAAGTTGGGCAATGTTACACACTAGTGGCTATGGGTCTTTCACAGTCTGCCCAATATAGACGTGAACATCTTTAAACACCCTTAAAGCAGAGACACTGCCAAGACTCGCTGTTTTATTTCACCTACCATTAGTGAAATCAAAAAAATAATCAGGCACTGGCGGAGTGGAAATCTTGAATGCACCAGTGAGGACATTACCATTAGTGACCTCTAACTACAGTTCATCCCAGATATCATTATCTGCTACATGCTTTGACAAACCCGCGCTCAGCGACATCACAAAAACCTCTCCTGTTTGGTGTGGCCTGGAGTCGGTTCTGCGTGACTGCAGATTTAGCCACTCTCCTAGGGAGGAGCAGGTGGGCTGGATGAGGTTGTAGCTTTTTTAGAAATCCAATAATGAGGATGTGCTCTGACAGCTGAGCAGACTCACCGTGACTAGAAAAAGAAGCGCTGCTGCCCACAGCCACAGCACTGACTCAATATTAAACCCAGATTGTTAATATATATATTTTGCACTTTTTACTAAAAAAAAAAAAAAAAGCTCAGCTGGTCCGTTTGATGGACAGCCAGCATATATATATGTATATATATATATATATATATATATATAGTATAAAGCAAGGATTTTAAAAGGGCTGGCACTGCACATTATCATAGATTTTGTAGAATTGTCTAGCATCAACATTATCCGGCCAAATTTGGCACTACGACACTAATAATCTAAGAATAGAGCAGTAGACTCTTCATTTTTCATCCATCCAGTAATTTTGTTACGTGGTGCGTAATCATCATTAGAGCCCAGCGGGGTGAGGCTCTAATGCTTTTTGAGCTGCACAGACACACATCCTCCAGCATTTACTGTATCTTCAGCATGACTGCAGACTTTTAGCCTATTTTAAGCACCTAAATTAATAAGAAGATATAGATAGAAACCAAGCGATGCAGAGGGGCTTTCATCCTTTACCTTTTGTGAGACACTCTCAGGCCTTTTAATCTCTGGCTGGTCTGCAACGATTTGAAAAACATGTTTCACCAAAGTTAATTAAAACATTATTCAGCACTGCATGATATCACAGTAACTAATGTTGCATGTAAAAATTGATGCAGATTAATTTGCTAGGAGCTGCAGTTATATAAATGTCAAATCAAACAATAAAACAGCAGCAGTGGTCCAGTTCAAAGACAAACCAGAGAAGCACTGCCTTCTGTAAACCTGGATATGAATTCACACGCTATGCATCCACCGCTCGGTTGCCAGAGTGCCTTTGATCACATTTTACCAACACATGTTTGAAATTAATCATATATAAACAATATGTAGGCAACAGCAGCCTTGTGTCACAACACACTCCATTTGCTGCACTGGACGAAGCGCTTAGTTTTGGGCTTTTGTTTTCCCATGGAGGCCTTGTTTGTCCTCCCTGTGACTCTGCCTCTTGACCTTTCCCTCTTCTCCAGGCTCCCTGGTGGTTTGTACAGGCCTGTCCTTCTACTTAAGCGATGCACACTGGGCCTGGAGATGGCAGCTGCAGTGTCACTGGGAAACTTCATAGCTTTGCCTGGAGGCACTAAGAAAATTCACATCAGGGGTCAGTGCTGGCTTGTTGGTGCCCGCTGGCTGTTTAAATGATTTGACTGATGCTCTTCCGTCTCATCTTTCCCTCTTGGAAGGAAGATTTGTTTGGGTAGAGAGATGTTTTCTTTTCTCTCTCTCTTTCTCTCTCTCTTGATTGTGTTTGTTTTCCCATGAAGACATGAAAGTTAATGAGACACAAGGATGCAAAAACATCGATTTAACACATTTTGATGAAAATAAGTGATGTGATGATGTGAGAAAATGGCAGAGCTGTGTTGATGTAGAATTAGTGACTATATTTAAAGCTACACTCTGTAGCTGTGGAGACTGTGAAGGCACCATTAATATGTGTGCTGTGGGTGGAGCTGTAGGTTCAGACCTGCTGGAGCTGCTCAGAGTCTGTGATCAGAGAGTTGTTTCAGAGGATACCACCAGTGGAAAACCCTCGCATGGGAGAAATGCACTGAAATGGACCTAAATGCATTTTTTTTTTTTTTTTAAATTTGATCTTATTTGTTTTACTGCTTTATTGTCCAGAATTTCAACCCAAGCAGTTTTTGAGTGACTTCTGAAAAACATCAATTTCTACCTCTTTTGGATGTTTGTTTTCCCCATAGTCTACACTTGACTTGAAACAAATGTTGTAAAGGACAGGACAGATGCTTGATTGTTTTGCTGGAAAGACAGAATGAAATGAAAAAAAAAAAAATCTCACTGCTTTGCACAGAAAACTAACTCTAAACTTATTCTTTATGGCGTTTCAAAATGACAGACACTAACTTGAGGAACGAGAGCAACTATGGGATGTATGGAGCTTTCAATGGATCCGTTTTAGATCAGATGTTTCCAAATGACAGCATCACAACGTGCAGAAACTTCACAATGGACTCGCAGGTTGTCGGAGTGGGAATCTTTCTCTCCGTTTTTATTCTGGTGGCGATTGTTGGGAACATTCTGGTCATCCTGTCCGTGGTCTGCAATAAACATTTACAGACCGTCACAAACTTCTTCATCGTCAACTTGGCCATGGCAGACCTGCTGTTGAGCATCATCGTGCTGCCTTTCTCTGCGTCTTTGGAGGTTCTGGGATGCTGGGTGTTTGGACGGGTTTTCTGCAACATCTGGGCAGCGGTGGATGTGCTCTGCTGCACCGCATCCATCCTCAGCCTCTGCATCATCTCCATCGACCGGTACATTGGGGTAAAACACTGCCTTAAATACCCCAGTATCATGACAGAGAGGAAAGCTGTTGCTATTTTACTCCTGGTGTGGGTCTCTTCTACGGTCATCTCCGTCGGACCGCTCCTGGGATGGAAGGAACCGCCGCCGGTGGACGACAGCATCTGCAGCATCACGGAGGAGCCGGGCTATGCGCTCTTCTCCTCTCTTTTCTCCTTCTACCTCCCGCTCATGGTCATCCTCATCATGTACTTTAGGGTATACGTGGTGGCCCGCAGGACAACTAAGAGCCTGGAAGCGGGCGTCAAACGGGAGAGAGACAAGTCGGTGGAAGTGGTGCTCCGGATACACTGTCGCAGCGTTCTGGAGGACGCGCGTCCGAGCAGCTCCAAGAGCAGCAAAAACAACCCGCTGCGAAGTTCGCTGTCAGTGCGGCTCATGAAGTTCTCCAGGGAGAAAAAGGCTGCTAAAACCCTCGCCATCGTCGTGGGGATGTTCATCCTATGCTGGCTTCCCTTTTTCTTCTTTCTGCCAATGGGTATGTTTCATGACTGTATATTTCTTTACGATGCGCGCCAGCAGGAAAGTGCGCTCCAGTGCGTCTTTTCCAATTTCCAGTGCCCCTTTCTTAACAATGTGCACACACAGGAGAAACATTGCAATTTCTCTATTCTTAAAGACTTTAAACGCACAAATTATTGTAAATTTTTATTTTTCATGCTGTCAGGTGTATTTATGAGTCAAATCCAGCGCTGGTGATTTGGTAAACGGTTTGCAAAATGTTCACAAGCAACTTCATTCATGTTCAATGTGAATAATTCATGTATTTGTCTCACTTGGCTTATGTAGCTCCTACACTCCTGCGTAGACTACCATTAACAACAAAACATTTTGGCTGCAGACGCACACTCAGTACTAAATCAATACTTAAAGCAAAAGAAATTCAGCTACAAAAAGCCCACACGGTGAGAGCTGGGCATAACAAAAACAGGAAAATGGCACGGACTGGATTTCATTCCCTGTTTATTTTGGGAAGTGTGCCAGGAACAGATCAAAATGAAGATTGTTGTAATGTTATAAAAACAAATGTTTTGGTCAGGAAAAGGCCAAAACTGCAACGTGACCATTAATGTGGCTTGTTTTCGTGTCTGTAATTTTTCTGGGAGCCTCTTTCTTCAGATGGCTAAAATCCCATTTCTTTTTTTAATGGGCAGTCATAATAGACTGACATTCTTCTGTAATGAGCACTTTGAAACTAAATATGCTTCCAAGTACAGTCCCATGGGCTACTTACTTTAGCAGGAATCTGATACAGTAATATAAAGACACCATATTTGCTTGCAATGGGTCCTGTTTCATGGTCTACATTTGTGTAAAAGAAAGATCACTGCAAAGTTATACAACTGCATACCACCTGCACACCTTCACACATTTAATTAGATTAAATAGTCAGTGGTAGTAAGGATATGTCCAAGGCTGATAGGTAGCGAAATAATCAGTCTCTTATCACTGCAGATGGATGAAAAGGCCCTTTATCAACACAACCAACATTCCTCTGCTCACTTGCATGCAAGTTGTCAAGGAAAGCAATATCACTCACTGTACACCTGAAAAGCACATACATACACACACTAAAGGTGTTCTCATGAATTTTCATTTTGCATATATTACACCTAATTGATTGTAAAAGCCATTCTGAACAAATGGCCTGTATCTTATCAGGTGCAGCACTCTCATTCTTGCTGCTCCTCCAAATTCGCAGCATCAAATTATGAGAGCAAAGGCTGCTGGGATAGAGAGGGCGCAAGAAATGAAATTGGTGCCACTAATCACTTTACTCACTCAGTGGGAGAGAAAAGGGCAAGTTTATTTGTTCGCAGAAGTCTGCTCTATCTTTTCTTGTGATGAAAAAGGGAGTAAAGGCAAGAATGAGAATTGAGGAATCTCGTTTTAATTGTAAGTTGGTGCACATTACATAACATGCATTATCAATTCCATTTTGGGTAATAGCAAGCAAATGCTTCAAACCAGGTCTCTAATAGCAGAGATTTGTTATCAGCATTAATAAAATGAGCATATTGATTTGACTTTGTGACATTATGCAGCCTGCTCTACAACTTCAGGAAAAGGTCAACAAGGTTCTCAAGTCTGAAACAGTGGCACCAAAAATCAGTATTGGAAAGAAAACAAAAGGGTTCAGCCAACAGGGATAATTATCTCAGAGAAATTGAGCTGATGTTATCTTGGCTCATTGTTTTAAAATTTATGATTCCCAGTAGATGGCAGAGGCCTCTCATTTGCATGATAAAGACTGACAGACCATCAAGAACACTCTAATCAGCTTAACTAGTATCTTAATGGATCTACTGTAGGGTGTTTTTGTTTTTTTTTAAAGGAATTTAAGGTTCTTGCCGGAAACCATCTGGCCTGCAGGATTCTTTCAGACCTGATTTTCTGCAGTGTGACCCTGAACTCTGACTTCCTTGGAGGAGGTATTTTAAACCAAAACATCCCCACAGGGATCAATAAGTGCTACACTGTCAATTCATCCCTGTGGAGGGTTCCTGTTTGTTTACTAAATGACAAACCGATGAGTGTGGAGCAGTCACAGCCCACAGTTCCCATCCCTGCTTGCCGATACTTGATCAGTCAGACAGATTGATGTCGGTACATTCTACAAACAATCATTAATGCGTAACCTTTTGCTGAGAGGCAGACATGTACTTTTAGCACCTCTTATGCCAATCAGACCTTTTCTCTGTGATGCTGCAAATCTAGATGGAGTAGTCTGACTCATCTGAAACTCCAGTGAGAGTGCCCTGAAACCATTTGCTTATATTAGTGAACCAGAGTCATATTTATTGCCAAAAAATGATGGAATAAAGAGAAATAGCCTTTCATATTTCCCTTGAATGCTGTCTGTCTGCCTGTGTAAAAAGCCAACCCCAACCACACTGAGTAGGGAATATAGAATTAGCATTTTAGCCTATGGGATGCCAGTGTCATAATTGGATGCTTTTCCTTTATGCTTTCCTTTCCTTGCTGACATAAATCTAACTCGTACAAAGTCACACGACTCATACAGTGTTTCAGTGTATTGTTTTTTCTACAGTTGACTGTCTTTGTATTTCGCATGAAGACACAAAATTCACACAGCGCATCATTAGAGCATGCTGCATTGAGCTGAAGAGCATCACAGTCAGTGAAAACCTTTTAATTATGCGTGACCACTACAGCTGAGTAGATTGACATTGTTGCCTGGGAATTTAGGTGTATGGTCTTTAAATCATACAAGTTACCTTGGTGGATGTCATTTTTATTTTTCTTATTCCTTATCAAGAGGTGGATGGAGTTGGGTGATTTTTCTTGTTACCAACAAATCCCATGAAAAGACACAAACCAGCAATAAACTACTGCAACCAAGATTTATCGTCAGTAAAGAAAGATAGACCTCATTTCTGTGTTTGCCATATTTGCTCACAGTCAGTTTAAGCACATCAGTAACACATCAGTAGTATCTGTTGCTGCACTGCATGACATTAACCATGAATATGCACGTGTTTTGCTTTTCTGCTGCTGTACTCACTCACATTATTATTCACCGCTGTTTGCCAAATATTATTCATTTTGAAAAATGATTCAACCTTTTTTTTTTTTTGAAATCGATATATCTGCAACCTCTTTTTGAAATACTTAAATCTTAATTATGAACGAGTGGACTTGGTATGGAGAGCCAAGGACAGAATAGGGAAGCAGGGAAGTAATGAGAAAACAGCTATTTAATTGGTGGTTTTAGCCTTATATGGAAGTTGTCAACAGAATCCTCAGAATATCACCAGCCATATACTTTAACAATGGTCAGATATCTCCGGTAATATGTACAATTTGTTGTGTTATTTGTCTGTCATACTATAAATGCTTACTAGGAGTTATGTATGTATTGACTGAACTTTGTCACAGCACTTGAATGGGGTGTGAACTTCAAAAAGCTAGATATACCAGTATAGTATTGACCTTCACACAGAACATTAAATGTTAAGGACAGAATATTCTAAGCTCTGTAATGGAGGTCGAATCAGGATTCTGTCTGCTCACACAAAAGAGCCATCACAAAATGCTGTCTGAGAAATCTGACAAGTCCCCAGACTCCTTGATGGGTCTCAGTGTGCATTCAAAGAATTCATTGGTTGCCTAATGTTGTGATTTGTACTCGGATATTTGCCAACTTTAAAAAAAATAAATAAATCAAAGTCACAGAGGATTCAAAATGGCATCATCTTGCAGATATTAGAACTAAAAAACAACAACAAAAGACTCAGATAGTAGAACAAACAAACCATAAAAAATATGACCTGTTGTCATGGTGTTGTGGTTGTGCGTCAGTGTGGTGAATCACTCGCTGCCTCCCTCTAAGGTGATGTCATTTTCGAGAGAAGAATCAATGGAGAACATCACTTCCTTTAATTACTTCATTCATCTTAACCTTTAACTGTGTCGAGTTTGAGCTGATTTAATCAAGTCTTTTATCAGAAGTGAAAGCAGAGTAAGAGCCAGGTAGCACAAAAAACAAACAAAGCACCGTATTCCTGCTGAAAATGTTACAAACACGAGCGTGACCTCTGTCTTATGATTCAGTTTATGTCTTTGGGTAAATGGCACAAGCCTCCTGTTTGCATTTGTTAGTGCACAGCATGCCGTTTCACGCTGTTTTTACATCAGCATGAAACCATTACTCTGAAAATTACATAGAGGCTATTTCATATGTTTCCATGTTGTACTAAGAGAAGTGAAATGAAAATGGACTTCTGGGCCGGAGCAGTGCAGACTTGACATTAGCACCATGATGTGTTGCCTGTGGTCAACGCTGTGTCAAATCCAAAGCCTGGGGAGACAAGAACAGCGAGAAAGCAATAGGAAGAGGCAACATCCCATGAAAAACATCATGTCATAGCATGTCAAACCAAAAACATCATTGCAAGCATAAAGATATGAGCAAAGCAACAACAGCCGGTGTTGTAAGTGAGCTGTAAAGAAAGCAATTTTCATTAGGAACAAATTTAATGTTCTCATTTATTCTAAATTGCCTATGTGTAATGGCAAATGCAAGAAAGCTTAAAAAAGAAAAAAGAAAAGAAAAAAGAAATGAAAAAAGAAAAAGTTTTCTCGGCTTCACCACCCTAAGTAAAGATGATAAATGGAATATTGAAAGGTTGCCCGTGGCATGGTTTTCCATCAAACCTAATAACAAAGACAGGGTTGGTATCAGCTTGTGCACAAGCAAAGGCAGTGTACATCCATTAAATGGGGATTTTTGAAACCTTGATGACTCAGGTACTGCTACACAAAGTCTGACCTGACCCCTTCAAATATGGCAAATATCTTACATGACGTGATGTATGTTACACCTTTTGCCCTGAGAGATGGCAAACATCTATATGTGGCCCATTTAATGTAAGATGACTCTGTATCACTTAAAGTCATTCTAGATATAAATTAGGAACAAGAAAGTGTGTCTTCATCACATACTATGTTCAAGCAAAGGTGTCATGAAACAAAGTCTCTGCACTGGGGCTTGTGTTTTTTTTAATTTCTGTCCGTAAAATGTCAGAAACTCTTTCCCTCCTATTAATAAATATAAAACAAACAGCCACTGCTGCACAATAAATCACTGCAAAAATAATATCCTGCTGTCAGAGAGCTGATAAATGTTTAAACATAGCATAGAACTATAATACAGCTGGGGACACATGTAAGCATTGTTTGTGGTTCAGTCAATGTGGCATCTTTTGTAAAATCTGTAAGAAATGGTCAACTTTGTTCAATTCTGATTATTCTTATTATGTTTTTTAACCTGATTACATCCCAGATGGACAGGAGGGCAAATAGCATCATATTGCCAAACACCATGATCTGATATATGTAGAAATTCTCTTACTGTGCTAATGCTTTGCTTCGGGTAATCTTGATAGGACACATGTGAAAAGATTTGTATTGCATTGTGCACATACTGTATGTTTACTCACAAATCATCCCGATTGCTCCCTGTAGGTTCCTTCTTCCCAGCACTGAAACCATCTGAAACCGTGTTCAAGGTGGTCTTTTGGCTGGGATACTTCAACAGCTGCATCAACCCCATAATCTACCCCTGCTCCAGCAAAGAGTTCCAGCGGGCTTTCACTCGACTCCTCAGGTGCCAGTGTCACCAAAAACGGAGGGTCCTGCGTCGCTTCTACGACCAGAGGTGGCGGTCGGCTGTCAAAGGAATGGCAAGGGATCAGAGGGGAGACTATAAGCCTGGCTACATTGTGCACGAATCCTACGGCAGCTCTTTGTTACACAAGGGGAAAGGGCGCTCACTGGGTTTCAAGAGATGGAGTCTGTTTCCACCGCTGCAGAAGTCCTCCTTCCAGCTCAAAGAGAAAGTGAACAATCTGTCAAATAAAATCAAAGGAGGGACGGGGAAGGGTACCGCACCAGCAGTGGGCCGGATAGAGACGGTCGACACGGTCTCTATGGGGATTTACAACTCTTGTGAGCAGAGCAGTTATCAGTTCTATGATCTGGCAGAATGCTATGGCCTGAAAGAGACTGACATTTAGAGAATCTTTAAGTTATTTATAAAAGGGCCATATTGGACCAACATGTGAGAAAGACTGTGATAGGGCATAATTTTGTGCTCACGAAATATCTGCGAATCAAAACTTGATAAAAGCTGAGGACAGTGGTTTGATCCCAGCACAAAGGATGAAAACTTTATCTCTGTCCCTTCATCATGTTTATTTACATGAAACTTCTTGTAAACTGCCTAAAGCCACATTTCGGAAGTGGACACAACAGCAGCCAACTCCTTGGACTCACTTCTGTCGCTTGAAGGCACTGCATCGATGTTACACAGTAGACTGTGGCTTATGTAATGTCTTTTGGTAAGACATTCAGCCTAAGCCAGGATCGTTATTATTGTTAAAGTGTGTTTCTTTACATTTTTTAAAATCAGTCATTAATTATTAGCCACTTGACACTGTCTAACAACGACTACCAAGAAATGGTGATGGCTTCATTTGATATATTGCTGATTAAACAAACAAAAAAAAAAAAAAACAAGACAAAAGAATAAAAAGTGAAACACATGTAAGTGTTCAAAGAAAAAAAAAAATGTCCTGAAGTTTTTGGAGAGAAAAGTCATAAGTGCAATTTTTATTGTTTCCTCGAATGTCCAGATTTAATAAAAAGTAAAATGTCAGAATGAACTATGATCATTTATTTGCTACTTTTTGTTTCGACAAGGCATTGTAAAGATAAGAGGCCAGAAAAGAGTAAAGATGCTGCACAGTATTTATTCTGTTGATTTCATAAGTTAACCTGAAATGTACACTTGAGTCTACTTGGCTCACCTAACTGTAATTTTTACTGCCAAGTGACCGCTAATGTGAAATGAATATGCTCTTTTTTTGGTATTCTTTCAATGTTACGTTTGTTCATGTCAGATCAAAAGCAAAATAAAAAGAAAAGAAAACTGTCATTCTGTTTTCCAGATAGGTTTACAGTAAAGCCGCCTTTGTTTTTCTGTCCATCCAGAAGGTGTCACTATTGCTATGGCCTTTGTACCATCTTCACCTTTTCACCCTTCAAGTCTGACTTGTGCTTTCAGGAGAACAAAAAATATTTGTTTAATAGAGCAGATGACTGGAAAGCAAATTACAAATAAATAAAGGTGGCATGCAGACACACTCGCACAAGGCTGGAGCTGCAGGAAATGTAGAGCAACAGAAAGAAAAGAGAGAGACTCTCTATCAAGACTATAAAATCTCGATTGCTTCCCGTTGTTTGCTTAGCTCTACTGTGGGTTTACCCAAATCTGTTCTTGATCCAGGAGGGGGGGTTAAACAGTTAAATTTTTTTGCTTTATTCATTTATAACCATCTCCAAAACTAATACATGAAAGAAGTCAATCCATGTGAGAAGAATAGCTCTTAGCTTTAGATTTTATGGAACCACAAAGGAGGGAAACATGAAAGAAATTAAATCACAAATTATTGCTAGTGTTGTATTCTCAAAAAAAAAATCAGATTATTGAGTATACATACACACAAAAATAAACAAGACAAAATAAAATCTGTACCTCAGAAATATATTTGTCAAAAAAAGAATGTGAAATTACAATATAACTCTTCCGAAGCCATTTTCTAACCCATCATAAAAGCCACAAGCTCCCACTGTAATGTGTTGATTATGCTTTCACAGTTTGCAGTTTCACAAAACAACAGAACCAGGCGCTGCCTTGACTCCTAATTGTTATACTGCCAGTGCTGATACTGGTTTAACAAAGATGCCACTTTGACTATGGCTCAGATCTAATAAGTAGACTTCAGCTAGACATTCAAGTTCATAAATTTCAAAGCTGTCTGGTCCTCGACTATCTTGAGGAGGACTAATTTGCTATGTGCTCCGGGTGCTGGGTGTCTAAGAGCCTTGGAGGATTAGGTTACAAGTTACAAGAACACTGAGGCAATTGCAGAATATAATATATACCTTCAAGAAGGGTTTCCAAAAACTCTTTCCTTTTTCATTACTCACTTTACAGCAATGTTAAACCTCAAACTGAGTCATGTTTTCTTCTTTTTGTCAGCTGTCAGCAGATGTGATTGTTTGTTCCCATGGAAACGCAGCCTTCAGCTCTGTTGAGATAGCCAAATTGGCTGACTTCTCTGCCTTTAAGCTAAACCTTTTAGCTTTTTAGTTAAAATTAGTCTGCCTTTATGTTTCTGCATTTCTGATATTAATGTTCAACATTCAGGAGCAAAAACTAAGACTGGCGATAAAGGAGCAAACAAATAACCAGTGTGCTGATTCACAGGAAGAAGAAGAAGAAAAAAAAAAAGAAAAACGGCTAGAATAGCACTGCAAATGAGATTCTGAGAATAGATTAAAGACAGAAAAAGTAGAACATGTGGGTGAGAACAAAATCTCAGTTCTAAAAAGACTAATTGTGTGTGTGTAAAGCGTCTTTGAGTTTCTTCAAAAGC